AAAGGCTTTGAACTTAGAAGAATCTGGTAAGTGATAGGACAGAAGGAGCCCAGGAAGAGATAAAGAGAATCACAGGCACTCTTTTACCTCACCTGGAAACATAGACAGCAAATTTGCTGCCTTAACAGAGTGAACTCCTCTATTGCTGTGTGTGTGTGTGTGCGTGCACGCTTGTGCACACTCACATGAGGCCACACACGCATGTGTGAAGGGATGTATACAAAAGGGGTAGGAGGCAGGGCATGAATGAGGGGTGTGAAGCACATGGAAAATAGATTTGAGTAGATAGGGTTAATAATAGACTATCTACAAATATAGAAAACACTTGCATATTGAAAATAATGATAACAAAAATACCAAAATTAAAGAAAATCTGCAGATTTCTAGAAACACCATAACCTTAGTCATTTAAAAAAACAACAACAGGCCGGCAGAGTGGTTCAGTTAGTTAAGAGCTCACTCAAGAGTGTGAGCTCTGAGCAATAGCGGTTTGATGCCCAGCCCGAGCTGAGCTGCCCCTGAGCTGCCGAGGTGGCAGGATGGCTCAGCTAAAATAAATAAAATTTAAAAAAAAAATTTTTTTAAAAACAAATACAAATAAGGAATGGTTATCATCGCAAAATACAACATTATCTCATTCTTCTCCATTGTCTCAACTTTATTTATTTATATCCTTCCATTTTCAACAACAAAAAAAGTGTTAATTTTTTTGTCTCCCAGTTTAAAAGCAGGGAGAATATCTAGCAGTCCGGGCTGAGTTCTATCTTCCCAGCAATAGGGGCCAGACATCACCAAGGTCATTCCTAGCAACAAACAGGATGCATAACATTGATTTAACATTTTGGGAGAAGTGACTATAATAAGTCAGCATTTCCCAGGCGTGAGTTCCATAATATAGAAAATTGGTCTATTAGCAAATATTAACTAATTTCATATACAAATGTGTAGTTAGAATTTCATTTAAAAAATGAACTGCCACCACTAACACACATCACCCAGTCAAATAAGATTTGTAGATGAGTCCAATATGCCATGTAGGGTAGAAATTCATTAAGGCCTAATTTATACTATAAAACTGAAGTCAACACACAAAGGATAAAGAGATTATTTCTCCTTAACCCCCCAATTTTTTCATCCTTTTTTCTCTATAATTATTTAAATGGCTACTTAAATTCTAAAAAATTTTTTGTATAAGTAGCTATAGATGAAAACTTGTTTTCTCTAAAAATAAAATGCTTTCCAAAGAATTTTCGAATGCCTTCTAAATGAAGGCCAGAAAAGAAAAAACAAAGTATGATGTTTTGTTGGAAGAATGTTTCAAGTTTAATTCAATTACAGAATCTCATGATTCAAAGGAACTTGAGAGAACATCTGATAGACGCCTTCACTGAATTATTGAATCCTAGCCCAAGTGGGCATCAGCCTTCATTTGGCTCTTCTAATGACAAGAACTACAAGACAGGGCATCTCATTTGTTTTTGAAAGTTCTCATTGTTTACAGTTCTGAGTACAATCTGCCTCCTTGATTTCAGTTCTAATTCTGGGTACTGGGGCTACACAAAGCTCTCTCTTTCACATGTCAGCTTTACCCACTGCCTTCAGCCTTGAGTATAATTAAAGTTATCAGGAGTGTGCCACTCAAGGAGTCATGTCCTACCTGAGTAGTAATATTCCATTGTCAGAAAATTAGGACAAGTTCATAGTCAGCACCAATAAGCCTTTCAGAACTTCTAAGGTTCCTCTGTCTAATATGGTAGCCATTAGCCATATATGATTTATTGAGCCATTAGCCATGTGTAGCTGATCTGAACTGAGATGTGATGTGTGTGTAATTTACACAGAGTGGATTTTGAAAACCTGTGTAAAAAAAAAAAAAGGAAAATATCTCATTAATTTTCCATATTGATTACATGTTGAAAAGTAATATTTTGGATATACTAGATAAATAAAAATATTTTTATTAAAATTATTTTTTTTATCCTTTTTAAATGTAATTACTAGAGAATACAAAAAAAACCAAACAGATCCTCTAGTCATACTACACTCACCATAGAATTTATCTCAACTTGTACCAAAATTATTGTGTGTGTGAGTGTGTGTGTGTGTGTGTGTGTGTGTGTGTGTCTAACATCTGTCTCTCTAGTCAGGTATGAGCTCCATGCAGGAAGGGATGTCACCTCACTTTCTTTTGCATTCCCAGTACTTAGCACACAGTACCTAGCATGTAATAGCTACAAACAAACAAACAAAAATTTTTGAATGTTTGAATGAATGGAGCTTAGCATAACTAGGGCCAATTTCTGTATCACGAGAGAGTCCTCAAACGTGTAGTTCTGATATCTGAGTATTCGACTGAGGAACAACATAAAAATTTTAGATTTGGTTAGACATTCGTGAAGATAAGGCCAAGACACGCTATAACATGCAGAGAGCAAGGGTAAGATTGTGAAAAGGCAGAAGTAGGCAAGGATAAAGTGGGGCTCAGCTAGCCTTGTATTTGTCACATCTGTAACTAGCTGCTTGCCCTTTGAGCTGTGGTATCCTATGAAAATAAAATGTTAGCCACATATTTGAGTTTACAGAGTCACAGAGAGTATCTTTAAGGAAGTGGCATCATAGGGACGCTCTGGAAGGTGGAAAGGAGTCAGCCAGATGAAGACTAGGAGAAAGAATTTTCAGCTGTGAGAAGGCCTCAAAATGAGAGTGTGGCTGCATTAAACTAAATGAAAAAAAGACCAACGTGATCAAAATGTAGGAATCAGGAGGAAAACGGGCTAAGATGAGGATGGAGAAGGAGCCAGAGGCCACAGGAGAGAGTTCTGTAAATCATGTTAAGAAATTTGGACTTTAAGTATACTGACTACCAGATGAAGGATTTTAAACTCAACAGTGACGTGATGAAATCAATGGTTTTTGTTTTTGTTTTTGTGTTTTTAAAGATCATTCTAACAGTCATGTGTAGAATGGACTGCCAGGATCCAAGAAAGGAAGCAGGGACACTGGTGAGGCTATTGTTATCCAGGGATGAGATGTGGGTATTTAAACTTAAGGAAATAGGGATGTAGACAGTGGATGAACTCAAAATAAAATCTATAGAACTTGGAGTCGATTGGATAGAGTATGTGATAGAAAAATAGATATCAAGGATTGCTCACTCATTTCTGGTTTTAGCACATGGAAAGATGAAGAAATATTTACTGAGTGGAAGAAGGCAGGTGAAGGAGCAGTGGAGAGAAAGATAAAGAGTTACATTTAGAAAGTCCAAGAACTCTATTCTTAGCAAGTTGTGCACACTATGATGAAAAAGTGTCAGGGATATAGGGTGAAGGTCAAGGGTAAGTGAGAATTAGCTAGTTAGAGTCACAACCCTCGTCACAAATGAGAATGAGTAATTCTTTGCACCTCTCCTGCATTAACAACAGGAACGAACGATCCTGCCTAGTCCAGGGTAACAAACAGGATGTTAACACACATCAAGGAGACCCCTCTGATGACCAAGGTTATGTCCAGGAGTGTGAAGTTAACCTGATTGGTTCTGAGGAGGACTGCCTAATTTATGACCAAGGGAACACATACTCACTTCAATGTAACAGAATTCACTGGGTGTAGACACAGACTACCCAGGTAGCTTTGTATTTGCTTTCTGAACTTCTCAAATGTTTTTTTTAAATGGTTGAGAATTCAGAACCTAACATTGTGAAGAGGAAGCATTAGGTAAAAGTGAAAAATACTAAAAAGCTTCTTACTGGTAAGCATGAGCCTCCTGGGAAGCTTATAAAATTAAATTAGTGGGCTGGCCGAGTGGCGCGATGGTTACGACCTGGCTTGGGACGACAGAGGGCCCCGGTTCAGATCCCACATATGAGGGCCGGTGACACTGCCCTCTACAGCTAAAATGCTGAACAACAGCTCGACCTGGAGCTGGGCTGCCGTGAGTCGTCAGCAACAGCATAGGCTGCAGCCCCTGCTGCAGTGGGTTGCCATAAGCTACCGTGTGTAGCCAGCAGCCAGCGTGAGCGACCACTAGCTGCCGTGAGCAGCCATCCAGAAGCCGGCAACTGATCTGCCTCGCCCGGGAAGAGCGCGATGATGGTGTGAACTTGGCCAGTGAAGCAACGTCCTCCACAACTAGACTGAAGAACAAAAGGACAGCAACTTGTCTGTTCCCCTTCCCCCAATTCCCCAATAAAAATCTTAAAAAAAAAAAATTAAATTAGTTTGTCCTTTCTCGTTGGTAAGAAGAGTGCACTCCTGCCCAGGCATGCCTAAGTCCTTCCTAAATCTCCCATGCTATAGTCCATAAAAGAGACTCAGTGCAAGTAGAACAAGTCTACAAACTTCCCAGGAAATCAAATATGTCTAAGCCTGTTGTGTCTTTCTTAGAGCCACAAACAATGATCCATGGGCAAAAGAAAGCAACACCAGAACCCAATAAAATGATGGTCCACAGAGGGCCTTGCATGATTAAAAATGCAAGTACCGCCCCAGGAGGTCCCTTGTGGGCCCATTACATTGCTTGTCAAATCTGCACTTCCTGTTGTAAAGGGGCTCCAACTTATCACTGGTTCCTTTCTGTCTGCTTTTGTCCTTCCTCACATTCTTTAGTGAGAGACTAACTCCAAATCCAGATTTTCTTGTCTTCTGGAGACAAAACGCTGCTCCACACCCATAGTTTTAGCAGACTTGTTCTTCTCTCCACATCCCGCAGACACTTACCTCATATTCTACCCATAGATATTATTTCAAAATTTCAGAATATGTATGCTGTTGTGTTTACTGCACTGTGTTAAAACCTCAAGTTAACCATGCAATTCATGTTCTGCACATTCACATCTCCTAAGTAAATATGTTTTTTTTTATAAATGAAGATTCCAAATTGCCTATGAACAATTACAAAACATGTCAAGTACGCAATAAGGACTAGTCAAGTATGAAATAGTACAGAAGAAAAGTGTTTCAAAGCAGACAAACTGACCTGAATTCACAGTCGATTGTTCTGTGTTGTTAGGATTTCACTAATGACTGTATTTGTTCCATCTTGTCAAGGTTGATCTGCCATTTATTCAATCCATTGATCTACAGACAAGAATTAATTGTGGAACTCAACAACTTCTGTCAAAGTAAGGTGCTTAGTTGGAAAATATAGTTTTCTATTGCAGATCTTTGCTGATGCCTTCTAAAATTGAAATTCAGGAGGTAACAATACACACACACACACACACACACACACACACACAAACACACAAAGAAAGAGAAAAACACTCCATGCAAATCTAGACTTGCCAAAAAGAATTTGAAAATTTATGCTTTGTTTTATATTTCACATTGAGCTCCCAAATATTCCACATTTAATGTTTCTTAAATATCTTCATTGGAATAATTTTCAGTAAAATTAAAATAAATCATTTCTCTTTGTGTACCTGACAAAAATAAAGAAGGTAAAATGCTATAAGCTATTTTTAAAATAATCCTGGTTTCTAATCAGTTTTTAATAGCACACATCCATTTTTTTCCCCCTCTACTCATGAAACAAAGGAAATAAATAAATAAATGCCATTTTGGTTCTTTTTCAAAGATGCTTATTTATCTATTTTTAATTTAATGTTAATTTAATTTAATTACAGTTTCATATATGCATAATAACTCAAGAGGTAATGACCGAAAGCAGGGCTGCTTATGTTTCATCTCTTTACTCTAGGTCATTCCCCAAAAGCAATGTCAACTCTCGTCAGGTTTCAGTTGTTCCAAAGTTATCACCCGCATACCTCTAGAGTATCTTATAACAGCAGGTTTGATTTGTTCAATTTAAAAACTTTTCTATTGACTTCCAAATATGAAAGATGAAGATCTGGATCATGTAGTCAGCCTCCTCTTCTGTTCCCAGCATTTGATAGTTAAATTTCTTCAAAGATTTTTTTTTTTAAAGAAATTTTATTGGGGAACAGTGTGTTTTTCCAGGACCCATCAGCTCCAAGTCAAGTAGTTGTCTTCAATTTAGTTGTGGAGGGTGCAACTGGGCCCGTGTGGGAATCGAACTGGCAACCTTGGTGTTATGAGCCTGCACTCTAACTACCTGAGCTAACTGGCCATTCACCTTTAAAGATTTTTCTAGTGTTTCTCTTTGTAGCTTTAAATGCTAGTCTATTTCTTGTCCCATTGATTTTCTATATATCTTTTGATATCCTATTTGGGTAGGAAGATATTTGTGTCCTACCTTTTCTCCCAACTTTTCTCCTAATCTCTCCATCCTCCCTTCAGTCACCTAACATGCTGGCATCGCCAAGGTGTTCACATTCTCTCCTGCAACCACAAGCCAATGTACTCTGTTCTCAAATTGATCGTAAACATCAAAAACAACAAGGAAAACCTGTTTACATTATTATGCATATATAAATTTTGTTTTTTGCTGTATTGAACAGCATGCCTAAATTACATTGCTTTCTTTACAGGTCTCATCTCATGACCCCAAAGTCATTGGTAGGAAGATTTGTAGCACCTAAGTTAAAAGCATTTTATTCCATGTACTCAATCAAACAACATTCCACGTTGCTTCATAGTGGCACCAGTGTGCTCCTTCTCTTTTGTTTGTTTATTTTTCTTAGAGTTTCTAATTTTTTAAAAATTTTAGTTTGTATTTTGACCTTTAAGATACCACCAAGTATGTCCATGCTTTCTTGTGAAGATATTTGTCAGTGTTTCTACTCAGAATCTAAACTCTCTTTGTACGTGTGGGGAATTTTCTACTGGATAAGTCTTCAAAGCCCAGGTTCCTCTATTGGAAGCTCGAAATGCCTATAGTCCACTTTCCTGATAGCCTCTGCATCTAGGCCATGAACAAGAATTACCTACCAGGTTTCCTTACTCAGGACTTTGAATTGAGAGCTAGTGACTGAAAGAAATGGAGACCGTGGAGTATTTGCTCTGGGTGGGATGGTGATGATGGCGGCAGCAGCCAGAGTATTGAGTTTCTGTAAATCCTGAGACTGTAGTGTGAGGGCCCAGTGTCCAGGGCCAACAGTAGCAGTGAAACAAGCTTTGTGGTCAGTCTTCCACGGCGGTGGGAGTGGTGACCCCCCAGACTAAGTTGTGACCTAATTTTAACAACTCTCTGGCTATTGTTTAGTCACCCTTCTCTTCTACTCTTCTCAATCTGATACTTCATACTTGCCAGTCATGAGATGTACATTTTCTGAGTCCTTGACATCTAAAAAGTTTTCTGTTTTAACATCCTACTTGAGTGGGCATAAAATTTTAGGTTGATTTTCTTCAAACCCTCGAAGTTGCCTGCTCCATTGTTTCCTAGCATCTAAATTTGCTTTTGAGAAGATTGATGTCTGTTGTATTCTTTTTCCATTAAAAATTTTTTAAAAATAATAATTTCTGAAAGGGTAGGAGATCTTCTCATCATCCCTGGTGTCCTGAATTCACAGGATTATATCTAGAGAGGGGCTTCTTTCCATTACTTAGAGTCAGCACTTGATGTGCCCTTTCAATTAGAAGATCCCAGTATTTTCGCTCTGGGAAAATCTTACTGAGTATTTCCTCCCCTTTGTTTCCTCAATTCTTCCTTTCTAGGATGTTTAGTAATCCAATGTGAACTCCCTGGATGTTTCCTTTCTTTACGTCTCTTACCGTTACTTGATTTTTAAAAATTTTATTCTGCCTGTTTTCCTCTATATTCTGAGAAATTTCTTAGACTTAATCTTTTTATTGCTTTTCCTTTTATTACTCTGATAATGGTGTTTAATTAGCAAAAGTCTTTTCTATTTTCTTATTCTCTGGGTGTTTTGTTTTCATAGCGTTCAAGTCTTGTTTTGTAAGTATATTTTCTAATCTCTCTGAGTTTATTACTTAGGAAGATTTTAAACAATTCTCTTTCATTTTATGAATTATTTTTCTTCTTTGTATCCTTTTGCTGGATTGTTTGGGTTCTGGTAGTTCTTCTCATTTGTTTTGTGCTTTTTAGCTGTCCATTACTAGTGACACAGAACATTGGGTAACAGGAATAGTGTTCCTTTGATATAGTGAAAGTAAAACTGTATCTTGCCAGCATGGAACACAATTCAAATTTGCACAGATTTCCTATTTGCTGGCCATGCGAAGTCTGTGAAATTATAATTTATGTGTGATCGAAGTGAGGTACTTCTCTGGACAAATATTTTTTTTAGAAGAAACTCAACACAGAACTATTGTGTATCTGCAACACAGACACAAAAACCAAAATATATTTTATCTAAGCCAGGCCTCAGGCCCATGGTTAAAATGCTCCTACTTCCAAAGGGACTGAGAATCACCTTCTTTTCCTGCTAACAGATCTCTCCCTATTGCTTCTCTCTCGTTACAATTACCCCTTTATAGCCACCAGTCACCTATCAGCTACTAAAGTTAAAGAAACTGTCTAAATCATTGTTTTAAATATGTTCTAGGTCACTGACTGCTTTGAGAATCTGATAAGAACATCAGCTTTTTCCCCTCAACAAAATGTACATATTCAAAATTGCTTGCATATAATTATAAGGATTTTTAACCCATCCACAGACCTTGCAACCCAGAAGTTAAACGCTCTTTTTGAAGTCTTGTAAAGTCCAAGTTTTATAAATTGAAAAACTATCCAATGGGCAACACAAATATTTAACCACTCCAGAAAGGGTCCTGCTATCAGCATTACCCTGAGAAAAGTGAGCAAAGAAGTCTGATAATATTATTCTATCAAAAAACTTTCTGTTGATAACTGAAGCTAAAATCAAACCAAAGGCCTCGGACAAAAGATTTAAAAATTCCATCCCCCTTCTGATAAGGAAATATAAGCTATGTGACAATGTGGTTCAAAATTAGTTCTCAGCCTGATCTTGTGCCTCTAGACGAAGAGGAAACCACTTTCATTGTCTGGTGACACAAGGGACATTTCTCTTGACTTGGTGTGAGCACAAGGCTGCATTTGGTTCACAGAAGCCAATTTCACAGAATCACGGGGGGTCTGACCCAGCTTACCATTCTCTCTGAACTCTTGTCCCTTGTCTTGTCCTTCTGAAGAGAACATTCAACCTGGTCTGCCTTCTACTCTTGGGATGCTGAGAGATGGAGTCTTGCAGGTTACGAAGATGCAGCTTCACGATAGGGAATTGCATCTAGGTCAAAAGTCACTATTATCCTTACAGGTAATATCAGCAGATGTAATTTCTCTTCTTGGAGTTTGTGTCAAGGCAGCAAGATGAAAAACAAAAACTTGATACTGAATGCCCTTGCCCACTTTCCCTCCTACCTGGAGGAATGTGTTCTCTGAACACTACCTAATCTTGCCATAAGTAACACACCGCAACTTTTGTATGGAGATGTCCATGACCTTTGGAATTGATGCATTTTGGAGGAACCACTAACTAGTTATGAAAACACATTTGGAATTGCTAATAAAAAAGCCCATACAAATGTACTTTTATTAAGATGTAAGTGCTAATTTTCCAGCACACACTGCATGTCAGAGCTATTTCACCACTAAGTTACAAAGGTGCCTGGTAGCCTTGGGTCACTGCTGAGCAGCAAAGACAAAGACCTCCATGGGGTTATCTGGCTAGATTTTACCACCTTGCTCAGGACTTGCTTGTCCCAGAACCAAGAGATATTGACCTTTTATAATTGAGGGAATCTCCTCAAAGGTCAGCCCTGACAGAAACACTGTAATTGGTGTGGTCGGCTGTGCTGAATCCCAGGCCTGCGCCCACTCAGAGGAGTGTTTGCTGTTTCCTTTCACTGCTCTGTGGACAGCAGCTCTACTCAAGTCACCTGGGGTTCATATATCACCAACTAAGGGGAAAAAAAGTCTGCCAAACACAACAGTCACCATTCCCTGAGGGCAAAGATTGTGTCCATTTCCATCATGGTGTCTGTAGTATTTAGCCCAAGGGCCAAAGTTTCCTAAATAGTTGTTCTCTCACTGATTGAATAAAAAAAATGAATGCATGTCCTTACAATAAATAGTTATGAAATGCCAGCATTTTCCTGGAGTCTTCCTAGTGGAGTGTATCAAATTTTACCATTTCCCTAAAGTACCGATGGCTCCCAGGGACCTGTGCCTGAAGCCAAACAGGGAGGTAGAGGGTTCCACGGCCTTATCCTGAGCTCCCTTACTGAAGGGGAGCCGGTTTTGCGCCTTTCTAACCACCCCTTTCAATTTATGTCATGGTTCTCATTTTACAGATGAGGAAACTGAGTCTCAGAAAAATAAGAGAACTTTCTGAGAACATGTGGATAAGTATGTGTGGATTTGGAACTTGAGATTCCAGTCTGTCGGAATCTGACATCTAAAGACTCTGACACCACACAGTATGGAGGTAGCCTTCTGAGTGGTTCTACTTATCCCCAAATGTCTCTAACTTCATTCCAAGTTTTCATCACCCACAAAGATGGGAATGATGCCTCTACTAGGCTCCAGTTCAGATGCAGCATAACATTTATCTAAGTGGGCCTATAGCCTTTTATGGCCAGCTCTTTACTGAGTCAAATTTCAATTAGGATGAACTTAAGTGGGGCATGCTCTGGATTAGAACTAAAGCTGAGGGTATAACATGAAATAAATGCCTGAACTCGCATACAGTTGAATAGGTATTCAACGCTGTAGAGATTCTCCCATTGCTGGGCAACAGGAAATCCCAGTGCAGTACATCTTCCACAGCCTATTCCTAAATGTATCCAATATCCTTCAGAGGGACAGGTCTTGTGTAATGGGGAACACTCCTGACTTTACCTGCAGAATTCCACAAATGCCCTTGGAGAAGGTCAGAAGCCAAGATCAAAAAAATGCCAACTATAGGCACTGGACTTAGCCACTCATCCAGAAGGCAGCACAGCTCCAAGAGGAAGTGGGGCCCCCACATCAGCTGTAAGTCATGAGGGCTGCTGAGTGGCCCAGGGCCTCAGCGAGTCACTCTCCAGAGATGTGGGTGCAGGTGTCTCGTTCAGAAGGAGCTGTTACCTCCCAGACATTAAACAAAGTGTAACAGGAATTCAGGAACTCCCGGGAACTTGACTCATTAGCTCTCTTCCTACCAGACTGGGATGACTTGGTCTGGTTCCAGTGTTCCAGTTCAACCCACATGCACTTCAGTAAACTGTCTTTTTTCAGAAGATTGCCCATTGCTGTCTTTTTTTTTTTTTTTTTTTTAGCTCCCTGGCATGCAGCAAGGAGAAATAAGATAATATATGTGCAATGCTTTGAGCTCCTTGGGAAAGCGGCACTCTCTAAGTGCATGATATTAATAATAACAATATTTCTGTTACCACGAAGACAGACGGAGTTCATCTTTCATGTGTCCTTTAAAGTCATTTTCCCCGCGGCTGCCTCTTTTGGTGAAACGATTCTGAATGAGCCATACAACTCTCTAGTTTTAAAATACTCATTGGGGAAAACACTAGTTAGTCTGTGTATTACCTGGAAGGGGAAGATTCCGATGTTTGTTTCTTGAAGTGATGGGGCTCCGGTAGGTCAGGAATGGAAGAGCAGTCAACCCCCAGGTAACAGAGCTGGGGGAGAGACAATTGTATGGAAATAGAAACCCATGGAAGCCCTGCCGCCTCCTTCCACGCCCCCATGGTCAGAATTCTGGGCCCACTCCCTGCAGAGCAATGTGGCCAAGTGACAAGGAACTCCTTTTTTGGGAGTCATAGAATACGAGTGTTCTTGTCTTAAGAAAACAGACCGAGGTTCCTGTAACCAGGCAGCCATGAGCCTCAGTTTATGAGAAACACACCTGAAACACTATTCCAAACACCGGCAAAATGCCATGATGATGGTGATAGCCACCATTTACCAAAAGCCTGCCCCATCCAGAGATTGAGCTAAACTCTTTATCTTCCTGGTCTTATTTTATTTAACCTTCTACACAAAACTACATAGTTCCTATTATTACCTTTTCAAACTCAGAGATGTGTAGTATCTTCTTCAATGTCACACAGCAACAATTTAAAAGTTGAGGTGCAAGCTGAAAATAATATGCTGTGGCTCTTTAAAAAAAAAAATAGAGAGAGAGAAAGAAAGGAAAAAGTGGGACCAGCTCCTTTGCTGTCCATTCAAATGCAATCGGTGCTTTTTGGGTATGCTTAGTCACTCTTAGGTTCTGGGAATGCAGTGATGAATAAATAAAGGCTTCTTCCTGGAGGAGCAGTAACACACCCCAAATAGTAATGTGAGGGCTTGGAGCACAGAAGTAAGGACTGTGTTTCCTGGTTTGCTGCGGGGACAACCACCTGAAGGGCAGTCTGGGAGCTTGTGATTTCCAAGCCTTTAGCGTCTGCTCCTGGGCTCTGCACTATCTCCAGTGACTTCCTTCTGTAGGCAGCTGCCAACATGTCACAAATAAAACCAAAGAAGAAGGTGACGCCTTGGGCAGTAAAGAGCCCAAGTGTCAGGCAACAGAGCTGCAGTGTGAGTTAAAGCTAGGTTTTTAATTCTGGGCCCATCGCTATGAGCAAGTCACACCTTCTCTCTCTGAACCTCAGCTGCTCCTTTTTAAAATGACGATAATAATAGGACACATTGTAAAGGGTGATTGAAAGCACTAGACAAGCTATTGCATGTAAAGTTCCCGGTACTGGGTTTGGCAGCCACAGTACCCTCAGTTATGGTAAATGCTCTTTCTGTGTAAAATCCAAGAAGAACGTTCAAAAACAGCCAGGCTTGAAGTGTAAAACCTACTGGCTACGGGTGAAGTGCCAGCGTGACCATGCTGGAGCCTGTGAAATCTGTTCCATAACCTCCTTCCAATATGCACGCTTGTCCAAAACTCTCTGCATAGGGCAGTTGCTAATAAAATGGGAACAAAAGAAATCATGAGGAAGCCATCCATTCAGCCACCAAATAAAGCCAGTGCAAAACCACCCCCTGCCCCTACCACAACAGACTGGAGGGCCACGAGGCAGGGGGTGGCTGGAGAGCCCCTTATTAAGCAGAGCCCTGAAGAGAGAGGAGCCATTCACGGGGTGCACCCCCACCCCCAGGGGCCCTGGATGGCCCACTTTTTCCTAGCAAACACTCACGTCATCAATAGAGGATTGACACAGCATTTGGCATAATTAACTGCCTCCTAATTCACCCCAGTGCTGCTCTTTGTTCTTAGGAGACAGAGGATGACTTTGGTATTTTGCCTCAATGAAGGCAAACAAGCCTAAGTGTGAAAAACTTGCCTGTTTTTCCGACTTTCCTGTGCGACTGGCAAGTGTGTCTGGTTTTACTCTTTCACACCAACCACGTACTGTATATTCCTTCCCTTGCAGAGAATGTCATTGTGAAGCAGACCAAATATGACAATTTAAATGTGTACCCCAGGGCTTAAATAGCACAATGCCCAAAATTCTAGTGATCCTGCTTGATATAGTCTGACCCCCAGCTGCAGGCCTTGAAAAGAAAGCTGTGCTGCCCAAACACAAAACAAATAAGACCCCCTTTTTTTTTTCTAAATAAAAGATTCTGTCAAGTGTCTTTTTCATTTATTTGTCTTTTGTCACACTCAAGACTTCAAAATTTTTTCCTGTTCTTTTTGGGCCATTTTCCTTTTCTTATTAAAAATTGTCCTCGCTTCATTTTAAAAAATAAGATATATAAGCAAAGTTAATTGTTTTAAGGTAGAACTTTAAAATGACAACCGATTAAAAAGAAATGAAGCATGCTAACATAAGCACAGGCATAAATAGTAGCAATCTTGGAAAGTTCCACAAATACACCAAAGATGCTCTAGCTGGTCCCTGGGTATTAATGGCGTCTACCCCTTCCTCTCATGAATCAGAGTTACATATTGAATTGCCAAGCCAGTGATAGAGATACCATTTTCCTTGGTAGAGGTGTGTTTAGAGGTGAGCATGACACTAGTCACGGCCAATAAAATGCGAGCAGAAGACCACTGGGAGTCTTCAATGAAAGGTTGTTAAAAAAGAATTAATAAACCCAAGAGCTGCCCTGTGCTGTAACATTTTGTTATGTAAGAGCATTTCCCCCCTTATTCTTTAAGCCTGTTGAGTTGGAGATTTCTTATTTGTCATTGAAAACTTTCAAACTGATTAATGATAACTACTCCACTCATTTTGTAATCTCCTCGATGGAAAATGCTGTCAGAATCAATTTAACTCCTTCACAAGGAAATTTGTGTAGCAGTCACCTATGGCTACCGCACAGCGTCCGTTCCCCTTTCTTAGTAATCAGTGCTTCTCCGACTTGAATGTGCAGATGAGTCACCTGGGGGTCTTGGGAAAACACAGATTCTGATTCAGTAGGTCTGGGGTGGGACCTGAGACGCTGCATTTGTCCAGGGTGATACTGCTGCTCCGAGGACCACACTTCACACAGCAAGGGTCTATATTTCCATTGGGAAAACCAGTCCTCTCCCACAGTCTGTCATATTTAGATAAAATTAGTTTAAGATAGTAAAAGAAGTCCATTCCCAGGCTTGACTCCTAGATGAGCATGTTGCTCAATGTGAGCCTAGGAGATGTGAGATGCTTGCTAAGAGCTCTTGAGAAAGAGCTTTTTCACTCTCTAAGAGCTACTGGAAGAGTTTTCTGTGACGTGGGACAAGAATGTAGTGGTTGGGATTGTGCATTTCTGCTGTAATGGGTGGAGTCGCATGGGGATGAAGTCCACGGGGGAGGCCAGAGCCCAGAGAAGCACAGAAACCTGTAGCCTTGGGGATGAAGTTGTTAACCTCTGGTTGAGCCCCACCTACCATGAGAGTCTCCTGGGTTTTTCAGTGACAGGCAATCAAATCCCTTTTCCCCTTGCTTAAGCATTTTAGTCTAGGTTTTTTTATTAATTGCAATTAAAACAGTCTTAGTGATACCATTAGAATCGATGCTTTAGATTAGAACAGGAGTCTGCAACCCATAGCCGGAAATATGTTTTTGTATGGCCCTGGAGCTGAGAGTGGTTTTGTACCTTTCTAAAGAATTGTAAAAGGCAGAAAGGGAGAAAGGAATGAAGGGAGGGAAGGAGGGTGTGGGGAGGGGTGTGGGGGGGAATTCCTGATGGTAAGGGAAGTGATTACTGACGCAAGTTTTGGAGTAAAAATGCCTGGGTTTACAGCACAGCTCCTACGCTTACTCTCTGTATCACCTTGGGAAGTTACTTAACTTTTTTCTGCCACGGTTTCTTCATTTTTCAAATGTGGACACCAGTCACACGTACTTAATGAGAAGATGTATATCAAGCACATAGGCCTGTGCTTGCCACTTAGAACTGAGCTGTTCTGTAATAAGGAAAGGCAGCCCCTCCTCACACAGCCGGTTCCCAGGACCTCTGATGAGCTCAGAAGCGAGGAAAGAAATAAACAACAGAAATATCCGGGAGTCTCATATATTACTAGGGCCTGATATTACCAGGAACAAGTGTCCCCAGAGAGGAGCATTTCAGAGACACTTAGCAGGGGAGGGGGAGGGGGAAAAAAGAAAGCAGAATTGCTTATTGGCTATTCCCTTGAGTGATTTCTGAGGGTTCATTTCTAAAGGCAAATACAGTAAACTGTCCCCCTAAGGAGTGACCCAGTGTACCAGAGGCTCTGAAAATATGCAGATGGAATTTCTGGGATTCACAGTGTTGCAATCGCTTGTTTTCCCATTTTTCAAGAGGCAGCCCTGAGGCAGCGGCCTGCAGCAAGCTCTTCTCAATACCATAGATAAGCAGAGAGCGGTTCAAAGAGACTCTCTTGCCAGTCCCCAAGGTGCAGACAAGCAAGGCCTGCAGCAGAGCACACAAAGGGACACAATTGGCATTTACGCTAAGGATGCCACACAGCTCTAATCCTGTGCCCTTTGACCCTGCACTATATTCCAATAGGTCAGAGCATCCTTGCTTGGCTTCCCTAATGCACATTATCCTCTCTGGTCAATAAAATTCCCCTCTGTCTCTACACTGACAATAGATGTGAAGGTCAGCTCGCCTCCTCCAGCTGCAACAGCGCTTGAGCTGTCAGTGGGGATTTAAATTAAGGACATAGGTAATCATTTCATTGCTTTTAGGCAAAAATGGAAGAGTCTGTTGCTTTGGCTGCAATCAGATTCTAGAAGGAGAAGTGAAAAGATCTCTCTGCTCCCATGGGAAAATATTTTAAAGTGCCTGAGGGGGGCTAAGGCACACAGTGACCTTAAGTAATAAATTTCCTAAGAGAGAGATTCTATCCATTACATTTTTCCTGGTGTAAGCCACCTTCTTTCTCAGCTTTCACTGTCAAAGAGTGTCACATCCAGTGGATGGGAGCTATTATGATTAGAATGAAATGAATTTCACACTGAAAGGAGTTAACAGGAAAAAGAAGGTACGAGAAAATGAAGAAATCGCTGGAGAAATGAGAGGGAGGAAAGCAGCTTGTCTATCTGGGGCTTCAGCCCTAGGCCAACTCTGTAACTGACCCATTGTGGAGCCTGGGGAGATCCATTAACCTCCCTGGGACTCAGTGTCCTTATCAGCAAAATGATCCGATTGAGGTTAAAAGTTCTTGAAGATCCTTTTAGGGTCCAGTATTTCCTGAGCTTAA